GAATACGTCTTGATTCTCGATTCCTTCCTCTTGAAGAGTGGGTTGTGTTGCTGTCGATAGGGGCTCTTCGAGGACATGCGCTGTACCTAGAGCCCGTTGTAAGGATATGATGGAATTGGCAGGTTTTGGCGAATGGACTTCACGACGATTGATGTTTTCCTAATAGCAAATACAGGTAGTAATGTAGACAGTACATCTTCGGCGACGGGTAGATAAATGGGATAGTGGTAGCAGCCGTTTGGGCTGACGTACGGTGTTTAATCACGTTATTATTATCCGCGATGGACGTAATGTAGTAATATTTTTCTTAAAATGAACATGGTTCGTTTGCTTTTGACGTTACTCGGTAGTTTTCTATGCTATTAAGATTAGAGATAGTCATCATGTTTTGCCCTCCAATGATGTATTCATCTTGTACAAGGAATTTGTGTATTGTTTGCTTATATTAATTTAATACTTGAGCAAGCCTGACTTGATGGTATTTTTGTTTCTCTAGTTGATAGATACCTTACACGTATTTCTTAAAGTGCGATAAGGTACACTCCGTCTAGATATAATTATCTAACTATGTTGAGTTCGCTTTTTGTTAGGAGATATTGTTTGCGTGTTGACGTCAGCTACCCAAGCAACAAAAGTCGGGCATTGAATCTTTGTAGACAGTGTGTACGTACTTCGTATGTAAAATCCTTAGGTGGGGAGTACCGAAAACGATGTTAATAGGTGGGATGACATGAGGGGTCTACAGGTGCATTAATCCTAGTGAATCACATATTATGCATCAATACAGTATAGATATTGTTGAATGCATACCTGGCATACCTATGTGTAGTCCGTGCACAACCCCGCTGCGGCGCAACCAAGCTAGGGCTGAGAAGGTACGTACCTATGTAGATGGTCAGTGCTTCCTTACCTATAGACCCCCATTCCGTTCGGCAAATTACGACGCGGTGCTTCGTCGCTGGGAACAGCAAAGCCCTGCAACCACTTCAACTTTCTTCAACTTTTATCGATACCCAGATCTGAACCTGCGACCCTTCCGCCCTTCCCATACCATACCACCATATCCTCTCTTCATAGTGCGACTAACCTGCTTGGTTTTTTTTCGTGCAGGAACCTTCGTCTACTTATCCGAAAAGAGGCTACCTAGGTAGCATTAACAGTTGCCCAAGCGTACCTGACCGCCGGGCTTCCAGTAAACTGTAATTCTAAGTTCTATACACGACTTAACAACACCTGAAACAGTTAACCAACGAATTACAGCAGTTAAAGCGAACTGGTATCTCAGGTAGACGCAAGACAAGCGCGATCAACCGATACCAACCGATCCCGATTTATTGATCCCCAAAATCTATGCGACCAACCGGAAACCTCTTTTTCACCTCGTCAAAGTTTACGAAGACATAAAACTCCAGTCTGTCCAGTGATTACACACCGTAAGTAGGTTAATTGGGGGGGACAGAAGAGGTTATAACAAGGGAGAGAGTACTAACTGCAAATATAGACCCTGGATCCGGCCAAGAGTGCAGAGAGCCTGACGCAGCAGGAGTTAAGCAAGGAAATAATACTCAAGAACTACATAGTTACGCCGTACTCTTAGTGATTCGAGCGATCGCGACCGTCAGCCGCCACCATGTTGCCAAACCCGAACCTCTACAGCCACCATCAATACAACCCACACGCCGACCAGTCATGGATGCACCAACAGCAAAGCCACCAGCACCAGGCCCAACAGGCTGCTGCCGCCGCTGCCGCAGCTCAACAGCAGCATTATAATCGATTAGCAGGTGCTCATAATAATGTGTCCACCAACATCGGCGCGTCAGTTGGTGGTCATGTTCAGGATAACGGCTTAGAAAACGTATCAGAGGATAACCGCCGTACGTTGACCTTCGTCGCCGACCTGCTTAATGAAACCACGCGCGAGGCAGCTCTCCTTGAACTGAGCAAGAAGCGAGAACAAGTGCCTGAGCTCGCCCTCATACTGTGGCATTCATTTGGTTAGTAGCCCCCTACGTTAAAACCGGTTCCAAGGGCTAATTCTAATCCGAATTTCCAGGTGTGATGACTTCTCTTATGCAAGAGATTATCTCGGTCTACAACCTACTTAACCCATCGCAATTGACTGCTGCTGCTTCCAACCGAGTCTGCAACGCGCTTGCACTCCTGCAATGCGTAGCATCGCATAATGATACCAGAACCTTGTTCTTGAATGGTACGTTGATCTTTAGGTAAGATAATCATAACATGCTAACAAGACGAAATATAGCCCATATCCCTCTTTTCTTATACCCTTTCCTGAACACTACATCCAAGTCTCGTCCGTTTGAGTATCTACGTCTAACGTCACTTGGTGTGATCGGAGCCTTAGTTAAGAATGACTCTAGTGAGGTGATCAACTTTCTCCTCACGACCGAGATTATCCCTCTTTGCCTCAGAATCATGGAGACTGGATCTGAACTTAGTAAGACAGTTGCCATTTTCATCGTACAGAAGATCCTGCTGGATGATAATGGTCTGAACTATATCTGCGCCACGTATGAGCGCTTCTATGCCGTCGGAACAGTGTTGAGCAACATGGTTGCTCAGCTTGTCGAACAGCAGACCGCTCGCCTCCTTAAGCATGTCGTGCGCTGCTTCCTCCGCCTGAGCGATAACGCCCGCGCTCGCGAGGCTCTCCGCCAGTGCCTCCCGGAACCGCTTCGCGATGCCACCTTTAGCTCGGTCCTCCGTGACGATGCGGCTACCAAACGCTGTCTCGCCCAGCTATTGATTAACCTCTCTGATAATGTCGTGGAGTCCAATAGCAGCCATGGGCTATAAAGCGGATTTGGACCTACCGCGGAGTTACATTGTTCAACAGATACCCCCCCACGACAACCACTTCCAAGTCTTTGAAAGCTTGGGTCTCCTATTATCTATTCATAATTAATGAGAGTATGAGAATCACGTGGAATGAGTTTCTTCCTGACGACACGGTACTTATCCTGAATCTTTCAAAACGATGACGAAATTCTAGTTGGTTTTTATCATTGCTATTCAATATCGGCACCTCGACTTAGGACTATCATTGGCTTTGCTAATACCGAAACTTTTCACGGAGTTTGCGTGGAGTCGGCCGTCCCAGATAGCAGATCAATTCTCCAGAAGCCTACCACACCGATATTATGCCAATCTTAAACCATCCACGTAGTCTCGAAAAAGTATTACATGCCTTTCCCGACTCTACTACAACATCAATATATCCAGCTGTTGTTTTGGGACAATGTTAATTCCTATGAACCTTGTCCAGTCTGGTTTGAAAGATTTATCCCAGTACACGACTCGGAACCTTTCATCACTCATCGGCAAATGTCTCTAATCATCTGGCGCCGACCATGCGCAGACCGCCGAAATTTGTATTATGCAACCTCCCAGCCCACAATACTATCCCTGGGTAGGCATTCTCTTTCTAGTAACAGATATTCCCTCGCAATGAAGGTTATCATTTCCACCTCTACTTTAGTAATGTACTCATTAAGGGTCAGGGGGTATCCAGAGTTCTACATCGGCATTTGACAAGAGTTATGCATACATAACACGGAAATTACACTGTCGATGCAGTTACACTATCCATCTAAGATCCTTTCCGGAAAAGCAGCACAAATCACGCCGATGACTCGGTTTCTATGTACATGTTTACGCAAGGCTGCGCAAGCAAGCCAAACCTCGGTTCAGTGCGATATGAGTCTTCTTTGGGACCTTACCCCCCGGTTGTACATGTATGAATTGCAAATAGGCGGGCGCGGCGGTGTTATACGGCGAATATGGCAACGAAAAGGACTGGCGGCTTCTTATCAATAGATTCTGTAGAGCTCACGTCTAGTAGCTAATGAAATTTGTTAAAAGAACCTTTTTTGTAAAGCATTGTCTGTTGTACTTGTACTTATACTTGTAATCTTAAGCTCCTGGGCTATCTTTCCATTTTCTAGTTCCTTCTTGCACTTGAATGTTGTTGGTGTTTATTGGGAGTTCGTCGTCTGTTGTATGTCATGGTATGAAGTTGGGTTTGTGTTAGGAGTTAGAGGACTGTACTTCTAGTGGAAATATGTTAAAGTTAGCAGACCAGTGAAGACTTCAGACTTTAAACTCAGTCAACGAATAGAGATAGCTATAAAATACTTGATAATTGGTTTAGGTTTGTTATATCTAAAGTATTGTTACTATTACCAGTTATCCTTAAGCAGACGAAGGTATTTTTCTTTTACATTATGTTTTTTCCAAGTTTACGAAAGTGCTTAATATAAATATATAGACTTATTATCATTGGTGTGTAATTAAGTTATACTATTGACTTATTACATAGGTAGCTTAAAAGCTTGGTTTAATTACCCCTTTTCCAGCCTTTTGTCACTTTTTAGGGGATGGAAGCGAAAGGGGAGAGTTTGGTGTGTACGAATTTAGAAATAGCATTTAATAGCTTAACTTTAGCAATTAATATATTGTATTAGTCAACGTGTCCCCGAGTTTTAATATTGTTAGTTAACTAATGTTTTCATCAACTTTGAGCTTCTTCCGAACCCCCCCTTTAAGGATGCAAGACAATCTTATCAGAAAATTTACTTTGCTATTTCAGGCATGGTTTAAAGACACTATTGTTAATGTATTAATACTTGTGCGGTCGCGCTTGCTGCTATAGTAATTATAGATATCAGGGGTAAATTGCAAGCGCCACTATTGTGATCATATTAAGAATATGAGTATAGCTGGTGAATGGCCTTTATTCTCAAATCATATACTATCTTAGTACTGGAAGATATGATTCTCTTTGGTATCTAATCGCTTTCTAGAATATTACCGTGTTGTAATAGAGTGGTGCTACAAAAGGGGGGTGATTCAAGTATGTACCTCCCAAAGTAGATACGTAGATGACCGACCAGTCAAATTGCTATATTAGTTGCAGATGCCTAACCAGTGCCTAACCAATTCTATTCTGCGAGGCTTTAGTACTTGGATGTGTTGTAGTGGCGTTTGCGTCTTTTTTCTTTCAAGAGCAAGCCATCCTCTATTATTATTATACACATAGAATTCATCATCAGCAACAGCACAATGTTCGAAACACCTACTGATATAACTTTAACAAAGCTGGTGGAAGTTCTTTAAATACTTTTGGAATTAGATATTGATGTAAGTGTGATACAATTGCTCGTTTACCCAGCTTATGTCCTGATGGGTATAGCAAACCACCATAGACAACTTAGGACCGGCTGGGCTACGAAGTTACCTACAAACACAACGACCCTCAGCTTCTTACCCAATAGTGCCGCCACGATGTTTCAGCTGCCGCAAACCTGCTACCAAATACTTCACAAATATGACGAATTCTAAGGGCAACGGGGGTCGCCCATACTTCAAATGTGGCCCCTGCGATCAGTTCCTCGTATTTGCTGATGCCCGTGGCAACAAACCTCAGCGCAAAACCTGCAGATGCGGGTTTTCTACTAAACAGATAATAGGAGGAAAGAATACAGAAAACTACGGACAGATAATCTACGTTTGTAGACAAGGTATATGTGGTTATTATGTGCCACGCGTGGATGATAATACGCAAAGGGCTATCAAAATCGATCCGGGACTTAAAAGTCAACTGGTAGAATTATATATAATTTGACGATTACATAAAAGACCTACGATGGGCGTTCAGGTTCAAGAAAGAGCCGAAATGAAAGAGGATAAAGGGATGACGTTGGATACGTACGGAGAATGCTTTTACTCTTGCAGATTGTCCATAACTAGTTACTTCTTTTATAAAGAACGAAACGGCACATATTGTTATTCAGATATGGGGACTTTACGCCGGCGTCATCTCCTTTAGCAGTTATTGAGGCGTTAATTTGTTATCTTGATCATGGAAACGCTCATTGGAGATACGACGATACTGTCGGTGGGTAAAAGGGGAGCAAGGAAGAGAGGCAAATTGTCCCAGACTGTCTACCTAGGTAGGTAGCTTGAAAACCGAGTATTGCTATTGGAATAGTACGCCTTCTTAATTATACTTAACATGCTATATTATTACCTAAGTAGAACATGAAGTTAGGTATCTAGCAAAAATTCTAATAAAACGAGGGACACATCTCGAGTTTTAAGCAGCTGCGTAGATAAACTACCCCCTTTTTTACCTTTTGCCGCCTCCTGGGGGGACGGATGAAAAAAAAGGGAGTCTAATACGTACGAACTTAGAAATAACTATCAGAGATTATACCTTTGATGAACGTCATACATAGAGTGAATGTCAGGATAGATAAAATTGAACTATCAACACCCGCCTTCTACCATCTTACGAGGGCGCTGCGCGCCTCTTATATACCCAATCCTAGATCTAACCCTGAGTCTACCCCTAACCAGGTACTTATACCCTGACAATAACTAACTGCCAGAAATTTAGCATATATTGCTTTACTAGCTAGGTTATTACTGGTTTATGATAGTATTAAGGCTCTTAGTAAGCTTGAACTTGATTCTCAATGCCTTTTTTGGAGGATGTAAGACGATGTGATTTAATGGTTTTACTTCAACGATTCATATCTAATTGAGACATGCTAGTACTAGTATATCAATATTATTCCAGCTGCTCTTGTTACTACAGCGGTCGTAGTAGACACGATAAACAGCAAGGGACACCGTTGTACTAAGTACCTCTATAAGTAGGTAGTGTTAGTACCTAGGTAGCCTTTATCTCCAGCCTCATCATATTTTATCTTAGGACTACAAGGCCTGGCTTTTTCTAGAACTAAATCGAATTCTAGGATATTGTTGTACTTGGTGGGATTGATGCCTACTTAGGAATTTGAATAAAGTGTAAAAAGGCTTTAAAGTACCTGAGATATACAAATTATAGACCAATCAGATCGCTTTGTTAGTTGCAAACAACCACCTATAGGTACCTAGCCAATGAATTTATTACATTAATCTATGCTATAATAGCCTGGCCTCTGAGTCGTTTGTAACCGTTTGATCAAGAGAAATCTATCCTACTATTACCATACACAAATAGTATCATTTAGACGTATCGACAACCATGCATTTAAATACGCTGGAAGACGTTATAAGATTTCTTTGTGGGCGAGATACAGATGTAAGTGTATATCTTAACCATATAATAGCCTATGATGGCCCCGGTTTGCCCACTTCATGTCCTAATCGGGTATTATCCCATCTAGGACACCACCTTAGACGCCCGTAAGGGCCGGGCGCCAGACTGGTCTGACTTGCAATGGGTCCTACGAAAAGCGAGACCTTCGGCTTCTTACCCGACATCGCCAATACCGTGCCGTCACTGCGGCTTAACTGCTTCCACGGCCACCACGTCGTCGTCGAATATCAACGGCAACGCGGGACGCCCGTATTTCAGATGTCCAACGATGGGCAAGTTCTTAGTGTTCGCCGACGCCCGCGGCAACGACCCGACGAACCCAGTCTGTAGATGTGGATTGTCAAGCAAGCGGATGATGTCGGGATTTTACAATGCCAAAACTCCAGGAAAGCTGTTCTACGTCTGCAGAAGTGGCATGTGTGAATACTATAGGGAATGTAGGGATGCGCGAGGAGAACATGTCGTAGTCGACTGGGAGCTTGTAGACCACCTGGCGTGGCTTGAGATAATCTGACGGCTGTACGTTGGACTGATGATGGCGTTCGGATTTGGGAAAGAGCTGAGAAACCAGAGGGAACAGGCACATGGAGGGACGGCGTTGGATATGTTCAGCAAAGGCTCTTGCTTTCAGGGGTAGTTTGGTACTTCTCTTATGAGTAACGAATTACGAAATGGCGCAGACTGCTTATGATGAAGCTGGGATTTCACATGGATATCCTTTCCTTTGGTATTTGGCGAGGTGTTAATAAAGAAATTGTTTTTTTTCTTCCCGTTTATTAGCTTGAAGCATTGATGTTCAAAAAGCAAATAGGCTATTGCCTATTCGAAGTTAACTCCTGATATGAGAATCCCATGTCGATAGGTTTAACCATATTATTACTGATAAGTAATTAAGCTATATCGTATAACGATTTGACTCACAGACAAGCTTTAGTGGCGATTCCTTTCGGCGCCTTGCTATTTTTCAGAGAACAAAGAAAGAGAGCATAGGTTATGAACACTTAGAGATATATACCTGACAGCTCAATGTAATAACTGATACCTATATTCTGCTAGTTTCGTTGTTCCTGAGGTGATGGTGTTAAAGTTCCTTTTCTGTAATCCTGACTTTCTTACCCCTTTTTTGAGGATAAGTATAAAATGATCTGATTCGATCAAAAAATTACTTGAACGAGTCATATATCGTTAAGATATACTATCATCGGTGCATTACTACTAGTTTAGCCACACTTGATGCTGTAGCGGTATAGATATGTTAAACAACAAAGGTCGCCGTCGTGATCGTAGAATGTATTAGTTGCGGGTGGGTTTTGTCTCCAGTCTCTTCGTATTTTGTCTTGGCATTGGAAGGCATGGCTCTCCTCAGAGTTGACCTGTATCATAATGTAGTTCTTGGTTTGTGAAATGTAGATGGGCGACTGAATAACGTCCGGAAAAGGGGGGATATGAGGCGACTAAGGGGTAATTTGAATTTTTATCTCTGAAGTAAAAGCATAGGAGGTACCTAAGATGACTGACTGATCGGGTGGTTATATTAGCTGTAGGCAGCTGACCAACGGGACTAGTTTATTAATTAATATTGTTGCAAGGCTCTTGACATCTACATAGAACAAAGAATATCTTCAGTATATACATCTCATGCTTCCAGAGCTAAATTTAGAGTTCCTCGCGAGATAACGAAGTGGTTTTCATGCTTCTTGCTCTACCTCGTGAGAATCTTGTCTCGTTCTTACCATACGCAAATAACCCCGTATCGAGAACATCATCTAGTATGGATACCCCGTATAGGCGTCTGACTACTGTAGATGAAGTCTGTTAATTATTTCCGGGTATAGATGAAGAACAAGTGAGTGTGGGATAACGGTCTAGTCTACTCTGTCCTAATTAGATATATACAGAGAACTACGGATTTCCCGGAGTCTGCACCGCTATGCCGTTCCTGTAACAAGCGCGGTACTTCGAAGGTGACCAAAGACAACCTTCGTAATGGAAATGCTGGAAGTCGATACTACAGATGCGAAAGTTGCAAACACTTCTTCGGGTTCGTTAATGCTCGTGGAAACGATCCTACAAACCCAGACTGCGGCTGTAAAACTCCAAGCAAGCGGTTATTGGTAGGACGTTGGGATGAACATTTAAAAAATCCAGTAGTTGGGCAGGTATTCTACGCCTGCAGGCATTTGAAATCTGATTTCAATAGGTATCGTAAGACTGAGGAGAAGGAATACGTCATAATTGACAATGAGGAACTTATAGCTGAGCTAGGAAGGCTGAATATAATCTAACGGTTCTCTAATGAACAGCAGATGGAATTCAAGAAAGAGCTGAGCTTAGAGGGAATGGGAGGATGGAGGAGCGGTGTTGAATACGTCTGACGAGTGCTTCTACTTCTAAGAATCGTGTGGTTTTTTTATGAGGAACTAAGCGGTACAGATTGTCTATTGAGATGTTGGAACTACCTACCAAAGTCATTAATTTTAGCATTTGGCGAGGTACTACTTTGTTATATTGTACAGAAAACCGCTCGTTAGATACACGAAGATGTTGTTGGTAAAGGAGACGTGGAGCGAGTTAAGTTGTCACTCATTAGGTATCTGGGTAGCTCTTAGAGGAATAGTATTGAAATATCATACTATTCTAACTAAGTTGTAAGCTTTTCCACTCTAAAACACGATGCTATAACATAGAGCTTTAACCCGAGCACGCTATGGTTGTAGAGCGGACACTGATAATATCCTGCGTGTTGTAGATGTACTCAAAAACTTACACTTAACCTATATTCGAAAGCTAAACCGGACACTATGATAGCATTGTAACTTAAGGATATGGCCATAGACCGAGAGAAAATAACAGAAGAGCGAATGACTTGAATTTATAACTGATATTGCAACGAATTTACCAACCAGCATTGAGCTTCAAGTTGTCTGCGTTCTTGAATACCTCTTACGCAAACCTCGACAACTCGAAACGTATCATCTACGTCAAGCCTTAAACGCCCATAAAAATACAAACCCTTTCGTATAACTACCTTACTTATCATTATCAATCTCCATCAAAAACACCCTGCGTCCTCGGAAATGCCTCCCTCGCATCGTCCTTGGCAGCATCATGGCATGCACTTCAGAACCCGTTTCCACCCGTCGTCCCTTTCCTACCACCGGAACCATGAAACCCATCCCGCAGCCATACATACATACATAGGTACCTACCTACATACCTACCTACATACATACCTACATACATACCTACATACATACATACATACAGGCATACATACAGACATACATACATACATACAGACAAGCCGTAGTGTAGTATATATAAGGTAACAGCCCAAACTAGGTAGGTAGGCAACGCGGCACGTGCCCACTTCCCGAATACCACCATGCGTTGGTAGTCGACCTGCGGTTCTAGGCATTGTATCACGATGCGCGGCTCCACGAACCCTCTCGTTTCAGAAAAGTCCGGGGTTCACTGCAGAACCACCGGATCCGGTTCCGGGCTGACTACGTGCATATCGCCGTACTAGTAATGCCAGATTTCGGAGGTAGAATCCCTTGCCCAACTTAGCAGTTCGTCTTGGTCTTTGGAGAATATCGAGAAAAAGAAGGGGAAAAGAAGGGGAAAAGAAGGGGGAAAAAAAGGAAAAAAATATCGAGTTTGACTTGATTTTGGTATTCTTCATATGCTATCAGAGTAGCCTCCGGATTCGCTCTAGTAATACATTTTTCGCTCCAATGAGAATCGTTAATGTCCTCCGCGCGCTCCTCATACCTTGATAACTACCTAATCCTCCGACTCGGCCCTGTCGTCGCCGTCGCCTCTGGAATTTTTTGGCAGAGGTTCGGTATTTTCGTATGCCCCGAAATTATTTCGGCAGCATTTCCCCCCCGTCTCCTCGACTCGACGTCCTATAGACGTCGGTCGTTCTGCCTAAGTTGAAAGCAACGTTCTTATCGCGCTTTATTTCGCTCCTATGCTCAATCCAACCATATGCTGCGTAGATGATGCTAATACTGGTGCATGCGGTAAGGACTGTCTTGTAAAATTACAATTTGACAAGGGAGACCCTTCATACAACTTCCAATGTCCTAGTTTCCTGCTATGGCCGTCACCCTATTATGTATTTCCTACCCGCTTGATGGCTCACTTATGCCATTCCGTTCAAGTAGCGCAGCTTAAGTAGTATGATAATACTACTATGATATCGTGGCTTCATGTTTTCGTTTCCCCGGATCTTCTCGTAGTTCTCATAGTTGCTCTTTAAGCGAAGGCACCGACGATAGCCATGCCGATAGCTATCTCAAGTTAGCTAAGAATAATCGGGGCGGGCTGTATGAAAACTTACCTCCTAAGATGACAAACATGAAAGCAATCTTCTTGTCCTTCATCGTCAACACTTTGCTGGATTCTTCGGAGAGGAAGTCTTCAGCGAGCAGGTCAACCAGAGCGGCGTAGATCAAAAGACCGGAAGAGCTACAATACAATACCTATGTTAGCGTTAAATCTTAACAGACTGGCACAAGAGTTCACATACATAGAGTTGAAGACACCAACGATAATCAAGCCAAAGGCGCTGTTAGGGTCGTAGCTGTTACGCGCAGCCAAACCGATGGCCTGTCCAATAGGGGCGGTCGTTCCGAAAGCGAACACTAATAGCCAGGGTCGGATACTGCCCTTAGGGTACGGAACAGCGGCGATACGAGAACCAAGACCAAGACCTTCAAACATTTGGTGGAAAAGGATAGCGACCAGGAGAATGACAAAGCCGTCGATGGTGATAGAAACAGTCATTCCGACGAAGACGGAGTGGAAAAGGATACCGCCCTCAAGCAGTGTAATGTTCATGGACATCCTCTTGTAGACCATGGGGTCAACCGGCTGGCCCTCCTCGTCAAACATGCTCTTTTCGCTGACCACTACTTCCTGCTTGGACTCCGACTGTACTGGCATGTTGCCACCAGATGCCTTGATCATGTTGACGAGCTCGAGACGTTGGCGGACGTATTGCTCGTAGAAAACGACGAACCACGGAGGCATTTCGGATCGGGGAAGGTCTAGATCGTCCTCAGGGTATGGGTATGGGTTGTGGTCGTGCACCTCCTTGGCCATCCTCTTCTCGTATTCCACGTCTTCGGCCTCAAAGCCCACCATAGTCGCATCAGATGGCTGCGCACGGTGCTGAGGCTGAGACTGAGGCTGAGCAACAACCATTGGAGCGGGTGCGTGGTGCTCGAAACCCGCGGCGCCGCCGTGGGAATGTCCACCCATCTTGTTGTTCATCCACATCTCAATGACAAACAGAATAAAGAGGGCAGTCATCATAATAACACCAGGAAGAGGGGGGTACTGTTTGGTAAAGAGATCCGGAAGGCATGGGTCTGAAAGACTGAACCAGGCTGTAGGGAGAAGCTGAGATATAGGTTAGATAGAAATATAGAGATATCCTCTGGCACAACATACATGGACGAAAGCAGTTGCTATCAGGACACCCGTTCCGAAATGTTTGCAGGCGAAGAACACCTTTTCCGGTACCTTCAACCAGCTGATCTTCTTCGCGGCCACGGGAAAGCCAGCCCCTAAAAACGACTTGTCAATATTGTGCCACGGATTATAAACATCTGAAGTATTGCATACCGAAGATTGATGCAGTCAGGACAAGGACTAAGAGACTGTTAGCTGATTACGATCCGTATTATCTCGATTTCAGCACTTACACAGTCCAACCGTGTGTAGAGTAAGATCGTACTCTCCGGCCTGCTTACCACCGCCACAAGCAGGCTTTGCATTTCCCGTATTTTGCGACATGATGTTCAAATATCTAAGTTACTTAGGTACCTAGGTAGTTAACCAAACAGAGTACACAAAAAAGCGAAAGGATGAAGTCGAAAATCCGGCGACTGGAAACCCCGCTCAAGAGAAAGGACAAAAAAGGGATAATATGAAGCCGTCCGGCGACTCCTGGGTGTATAAATAGAAACAACAGACGAGAGGCTTCAATCCCCACGCCAAGAGAAGAGAATATAAATAAAAAGAAGAGAATGTGAAAGAGAACGAAGACCCATAACACTCGACCAGGACACAGCACAGAAGAATATGAATATCGATCAAAAGTCTTGGAAGGTCAGGCTGGGCCTTTGCTTTAATATGCATTACTATGACAAGACGAAGATCCATGGTACTCGATGTTGAAATTGCATGCATCTGCACTGAAATTGCATATGCATCTGCACTGTCATGGATTCAGAATAGATATCCTCGACTATTCTTGACGTTTTTGCTCGTACAAACGTACGGCAGCAGCCAACTCCTTGGATCCCTTGTCTTAGTCGAGTTCATTATCTGTATTGTATGAGAGATCGGCTTGGTCAATGCCGCCAGAGTTGTTTCACAGCAATTGTCTGCATCGTGCAGAAACCCATTAATAGTGCAATCTCTACTGTAGTGGGCATTTAGATGCTGAAGATCACGCCTGTGCTTGTGAGAGCCTGGCATGAGCCTCACCCCGGAGGCTCCACCTATAACCTCAGTGAAGCTCCATCTCATTACTTGATAAATTACTACTACGTCGCTCCATTATTGTTAGCCTCGTCTGGATATACAAAAAACTAATCAAGCTTTACGATTAAGGTCAAGATGACGCCGAAAGTAGTGTAAACAGTGAAGGTTGTAGGACTCAAACAAGGCCCACTACTTACCCTAGGAGATTTACTTTGATATATCAGTATGTTCATACCTATGTAGTAAGCTTCGTAGCCACATACATACCCGGGCCGGTCTTCCCGATCAACTCCACAGTATGCGGAAGAGGCGTCGATAGCTGCGGCTGCTATGACTTCAGCGAGTCGGGGGTTTTGCCTGATAGTCGACATTCCTTGTTAGGAATAAGACTTCTCGAGTCGTAGATGTATGGGGAAAACAATTAAGACTCTTGGCAGTATCAATAATTGTGGGTTTACTTTAATGCGGCCTGCGTAGTTATTATGTTAAGCTAGAAGGTTGAACGCTGCCCAAAACAGTATGCGGCTTGGCAGACGAGAGTCCGGGGTAAGATGGCTAGATGGCTGGATGGCTGGTCTCCGGCTGTGACAGGTAGGACGTGATAGTCACGGCAAAGGTTAAGTCCGCCTGAATCGAAACAAAATTGGGCCAATGGGGCATTCCGCATCTGATAGTGATCGGCCCTCTACCGATGCGAGCAATCCTTTGCCAAGATCGTTGTTGTTTGAGACGGAGAAAAATTGCGGTCTAAGCGGAGCATTTGACAAACCGGGGCCGGCATATCGAATCCCTGTTTAGCTTTTTTTTTCTTTCGCTTTCCGCGCGGGGGTTTGCTGAGGAGAGACCAGCAAAGCTTTCTTGGCAGACGAAATGACTAGGAAGGGTGTTGTATTCCGTCAAGGTGCCAGTGGAGTATGATGGAGTGCAATGCAACCTATGACCACGGTTGGCTCCCTCACATTTGTATTCGAGCCAGGTTGGATATAATTATGAGCCGTCTTGCAGCGATCGCCCTCTCCCACTGTCATTCGGAAACATCTTCTGTATTGCACCCCAAAGGCTTTTCAGAGCACGAATCTCGAGATGGCGAATCAGGAACCAGGAAACACCGCTCAGCCATCAGGTCAGTCGTTTTTTACTGTTATTCTCGTCTGATTTTGTTATGAGGCTCCATGGAAACATCCACATCCGGACGCGCAAGCGTTTTGAATCCTTTTATCCCCAATTAGGAAAATGCGGCGAAAGACTCGAGACAAGCACACCAACTGACTTGGAGGTGAAGACAACATTGCTCCAGCAAGCGCCGGTCCCGTTGTTTCTACGCCTGCATCTGCATCTGCATCTGCATCTGCTGTGCCCAAGGAGGCAAGTAACTCCAAAAAGGACGACGGCTTGCCTTCGACATCGGTCGAGGAGTCGTCAGCCACGCAGGCGGGAGGGGCGGCAACATCTTCCGCAGCCGAAGGCAACCCAACTGACCCCTTGAATTTTGGTCGCCATCGACGTGAAAATATCAGCCGGCGCCAAATGAAAATCGACCATCCCAATGGAAACAAGAAGGATCTCAAGAAGTTCTACACCCGACAGAATGAGCTTATCGATCAATTCCTGGGTGCCGACGACGAGGAACGGTTGCAAGTGGAGGAAGACGCCCGAGTGGCTCCAAAGATCAAGTTCGCCGTCAATGCCTCCTTTACGGTGAACTTTTGCCTTTTCGTAATTCAGTTATACGCTGCCGTCTCGACTGGGTCGCTATCGGTAAATGACCCTGGGTGCGAATTGTCCTTTCATGTGAACCTAGTTGACCGTCTGAATAGCTCTTCGCCACTGCTGCTGATGCTTTTGTTCGTAATCCTCTTAAACTGCTGATGAAGTGCTGCTAGTTGACCATAGAGATAGATGGACCTTGTCTCGTCTTTTGTAATGCTGATAACTTCGCGTATGGCGGCCAGAGCTAGCATCTATAAATATCCAGTAGTGAGTACCTATCGACAGTATGGCCATCAAGGTTGTAAGCTCATAGCCACGTAGGGCCGCACAAGGATTGAGACTATCGGAATTATCCTCTTTTGTGCTCTGATGACTACCGTCGCAATCCAACTTCTCGTGAGTTTGCTACCCCATGGCGTTTTAGCCCGTCGGGATCGGTGGTTCTAATTCTTGGCCTATAGGTCGAGTCGGCACGTACCCTCGGAGGAGGGCCATCCGAATCTAAGGACCTCCAAATCATCCCCATCGTATTCGTGGGTATTGCCAGTAAGGGAATCTATCCAGATGCTTGTATCTTGTAGTTAACAAGGATTTAGTCTTTGCAAAGGGCAGTCTGATGTTTTACTGCCTCACGTACCGCAGATATCCATCAGTCCATGTCTTCTTCGTATGTAGCCCCTTACTGATTATTGAAGTGATGTTACTGATCAGGTGTAGATCGACCATCGCAATGATATCGTTGTCAACGTATTCGGTCTGGTCATGTCAATAGTCGGTGACCGGTTTATCTGGTATCTAGATCCCATTGGTGCTATATGCATCGCGCTCCTAATTCTTTTCTCCTGGATTTCCAATGCCTTCGAGCAAGTATGGCTACTTGTGGGCAAGTCGGCTCCAAAGGAGTTCGTGTCTAAGCTCATCTACATAAGCATGACCCACGATCCCCTAGTTCGGAAGGTGGACACGGTAAGCCAACGCCGGCCTCAGCCCAGTGGAGATAATACTAATAAAAGTTTCAGTGCCGGGCATACCATGCCGGACAGAAATACTATGTCGAAGTTGATATTGTTATGGATCAAGATATCCCGCTGAAGATCTCACACGATGTGAGCCAATCCTTGCAGAGAAAGCTTGAGGGTATGTATTCGGAGCCGGGCAAATATATGCAATGTGCTGAGAGTTTTCTAGGCTTAGGTGATGTCGAACGGGCATTTGTCCATGTTGACTACAACGACGACCACGACATCCACGAAGAGCACAAGCCCCTCTACGAAGGGAAGAAGCAGGGTCGAACTTTGAAAGACATCCTGCTCTTCCGAAAGAAAGAAGGGGAAGAGGAACTTAGGAGACAGGAGATGTCGGGATAAGGTACACCCGTCAACCTTTTACGCTTTGAATCTCGGGAAAGGGGTAAAGGGACGGTAAGAAGGGCATGAGAGACGAAAAAGAAAATAGAAGGGAGCCACGGTTTACACCACTAAGCAAAGGCGTGGTGAGGCTATTCAAACAGTGCGAACACCAGTACACGATTATAATAAGTGCGATGATTTTAGTTTCTTTACAATAGAGCGACGAGCGATGAGCGATTCATATACACATATACACATATACACCATAAAGGTAGTAAGAAAATAATAAAGCATTCGAATTGCGCAAGATCTCGACCACGCACTCAAAATGAAAAGAGGAAATGAGGAAGTTGAGATGTAGAAATTAAGTTTAGCTGATATTATACAATTATATTGACGTATGTAGTACAAAAGTTACACTAGTAGCATCATCAAATCTCCTAGCGGGAAGCTAAACGCCTGGTTACATAATACATACAGCACCTATGTATCTCGGTATCTTATCGTATGATTGGAAATGAAAACCTTCCCATTTGCGTCCTCAACATTGCTCTCTCCGAGGGGAATAATCCTCACAACACCCCCCAAATGTCGCTTCTTCTCCCGGGGATACGCAGGGCGACGGCCAGGCTAACGCCTAGTCAGTTCGTCTGCCGCCAATGCCTCCGCCAGCAGCCTCGCGCAGCTGCTTCGTCGCGGATCTTCCGGGCCCTCCAGGTGCGACAGGCTAGTACCGGTGTTGGTAGCGAGTCGAAAGCTCGGTTTGCTCGGTATTTTACGTCTGCGGCTGTCTCGACTGAAGCAACGCAAGTTGCGAAGAGGGTGTTTCCCGAGACGAGTTCTAAGAGCGTGGCGTATTGGCTGATTGGGAGTGCTGCGAGTGTCTTTGGTATCGTGGTGTTTGGTGGGCTTACACGGTTAACGGAGTCTGGGTATGAACTACCCCTCTTGCACCTCTCCTCTTATTACTTTAGTATACATACAAAGAATTAAATATCTAATTGCGCAAAAAACAGGCTCAGCATAACAGAATGGAAGCCCGTAACCGGGTCCCGGCCCCCCCTCACGCAAGCCGACTGGGAGGCCGAATTCGAGAAGTATCGGGCGTCACCCGAGTTCCGCATGCTGAACTCGCAAATGGATCTCGACGAGTTCAAGAAGATCTACTTCATGGAGTGGACGCATCGACTATGGGGACGTATTATCGGGTTGACATTCGCGGTGCCGACCGTGTATCTGATTGCCCGCCGTCGTGTATCCGCCCGCGTCGCCGCACACCTCGTTGGTATCTCCGCGCTTATCGGTTTCCAGGGGTTTATTGGGTGGTGGATGGTAAAGTCCGGGCTTAAAGACGATTTGTTTGCGCCGGGATCGCATCCCCGTGTTTCGCAGTACCGTCTTGCTACTCATTTAGCTACGGCTTTCGTCTGCTACTCCTGGATGCTGCTCACAGGCCTAAGCATCCTGCGCACCCGCCGTCTCCTTGCCGACCCCGCCTCCGCCAGCAAAGTCATCTCCGCCCTGAAGAGCCCCGCCATCGCCCCCTTCCGGCGCTACGTGTCAGCCCTCACCGTACTAGTTTTCACGACCGTGCTCTCCGGCGCCCTGGTCGCCGGCCTCGATGCTGGACTTATCTACAACGAGTTTCCTATGATGGGCTTGGGCCTAACCCCGCCAAAGTCTGAGCTCTGGGACAAGTTCTACTCGCGAAAGGAGGATAACTCCGATTTATGGTGGCGCAACATGTTAGAGAACCCGAGTCTGGTGCAGCTAGACCACCGGATCCTCGCTACAACTACCTTCTGTGCTGTTCTCGCACTATTTGCGTACTCGCGGTCTGGCCGACTTGCCACCGTACTGCCTAAGAATGTGAAGAAAGGCACGATGGGTATTGTGCATCTCGTATGTCTACAGGTCGCTCTCGGTATCAGCACGCTTATCTACATGGTTCCTATTTCGCTTGCCGCCGCGCACCAAGCGGGAAGTTTGGCATTATTAACCGGAGTCCTCGTCCTTGGCCATCGCCTACGGGTACCAAAAGCGACGATCGCGCAGGTTCAGAAGAGGTTGGCGTCGGTAGCTCAGCCGCGGTAACCCAGCCATATTCTATGCTAGGCTAATGAATGTACGATGCTTAAGACGTTCCTTGTTCACTAGATAGATACCATGTATTATACGTAGAGTCTCAACTTTTTTTTATTCATTTCCACTCTATGGTGTGCCGATCATAGCGTTGATGTTGCCTGGAATATCTAGCTAAGTACTGTACAAACACCGTAGACAGTATACTTCCCAAGCCAACACCCGTATAAACGGGATTTGTCCTTCAACAATACCAAAGGCTCCTCATTATTTGTGAGCTGGAGGTTGTGGTTAGTTACGATACATCAATAAGTGGAGAGCTAGGACGAGCAACACTTACGAATTCCTTCGACCTTAACATGGGGTTCCTCCGCACCTGCCTCTTCGATATCGGCGGGGAGCCTCTCTTTCTTCTGTTCGGGGTTCATGAAGGGGAATAGCAACACCTCCTTGATAGTGTAGTTGTTGGTGAGGAACATGGTAAGTCGGTCAATACCCATACCCCAGCCGGCGGTCGGAGGTAGACCGTATTCAAGAGCGTTCAGGAAGGTCTCGTCGATCATCTGGGCCTCGTCGTCTCCTTGGGCCTTCTGGTTGGCCTGCTCTTCAAAGCGCAGTCTTTGCTCGAACGGCTGGTTTAACTCGGTGTAGGCATTGGCGATTTCCTTCTTGCAGACGAAGGCCTCGAATCGCTCTGTTAGACCAGGCTTGGTGCGGTGGTCCTTGGCTAATGGTGACATGATCTTGGGGTGCTCTGTGATGAAGGTCGGATTGACTGCGGTCTCCTCGATGAACTCGCCAGTCAATCTATCGAGCATCCTAGCGGTAGTCTGGGGTTCGGGGCAAACAACGTTGACCTTCTTCAAAACTCCCTTGAGCCACTCCCTTGTCTCATCTGTGTGTAGTTGATCGCCAGGAGGGAACTTCTCTCCGGTTGCTTCCTCGAGGGCAGGGATCATCTCCACTCTTCGCCATGGGGCCTCCCAGTTAACTGTGTACGTCTCGCCATGTTGTGTGGTAAATGAGGTTGTGTAGCTTCCGGTAAGATGCTTCACCATACCAGAGACAAGCTCTTCGGTTCTCTTCATGAGATCGTTGAAGTCGGCATAGGCCTCGTAAAACTCGCAAGTCGTAAACTCCGGGTTGTGGGTCAGATCGGCACCTTCATTTCTGAATAGACGGCCAATCTCGTAAACCTTGTCATACTCTCCAACAATCAGCATCTTGAGGGGCAATTCGGGTGCTATTCTCAGGAAGATATCCATGTTGTAGTCGTTAAGGTGGGACTGGAAGGGCTTGGCTGTAGCACCACCGGCGATCTGATTTAGGATGGGGGTTTCGACCTCTTCGAAACCGGCATTGTCGAGGTAATTGCGGATGTACTTGATAATCTTGGTGCGGGTGCGGTAGGTTTGAGCAGTCTTGGGGTTCATGATGAGATCGAGGTAGCGCTTGCGGTAACGCTGCTCTTGGTCCTTGAAGCCGTAGTACTCGTCCGGCAATTGGTGCAGACAGGGGGATAAAAGGATCACCTCTGTAGCAAAGACGGAGAGCTCGCCCTCTTCGCCCTTCTCAAGTTTGGTCTTGGGAGCAGTTCTGCCAGCGTAACCAATGACACCAATAATATCACCACGTCGTATGTGGTCATGTTGCTTCTCGAAGGCAGGTGCTCCTTCGCGGATTTCTTGAGCCTGGCACATAATCTGCACCTTGACGCCATTATTTCCGCGGATATCGTAGAAGAGCAGCTTGCTACCGGAAGCGCGCTTGTTGTATATCCTTCCAGCGACACGCAGAGTCTTTGACTTGTCATGCTCTCCAGACTTGAGGTGACCGTACTCCTTGACTAAATCGTTTAGGTCATAGTCGCGATGGAACTTGTGAGGGTAAGGATAAGGTTCCTTAGATTCGATAAGCTTGGAGATGGCGCGGGATCGAATCTCGAAGTATTGCTAATTCCAGTTAGTTCATGTAGTACTAGTACTATGACGATGTCAATTGACTAACGTTAGGAGTCAACTCCTTCTCATCAGCTTCAGCATTCGTCTTCTTTGCAGAGGCAGGCTTAGGCGGGGCAGCTGCGGCCTTCTCTTGCTTCTTAGCATCTCGCTCGCGCTGCTTCTGTCTCTTCTTCAACTCTGACTTAGACACCTTCTCTCCGGTGACTTCATCCAGATGCAGGTTAGCAACCTCTGCAGTAGGTGCTTGATCTGCCATGGTGACTGAATGTTGTTGCGATATTGTGTAAGTTGGCAGAATTCGTGTAAGTCGGCCCCACGTAGATTTTTTGTGAGTTTGATCGCGGGGTAATTTTTTGCGAATTGAATTTGAGTCACCGCCCCGATTTCGCCAATTGCTACATGTATGTACATATTCGCGTCTAAACGCGGGGCATATTTTTTTTTTTTGGAATCACGTGATAACCATGTGATATCTATTTTAACCTTTCACTAATGTTTCGCTCTTGAATCCGACCAAGCGCGAACCTAATAATCTCATATCCCTGTTAACATCTTAAACGGATGGTAGGTAATTTATTTACCTTACCTAACCCTACCCTATCTTCTCCCAGATCCACCTACGGAATCACATACAAGCAAGGGTGCAATTCTAAACTGCAAACTGCAAACTGCAGTCAGAAAACTACCGTCTGAATGGAACCCAGTCCGAAATGGTTACCTACCTAGGTACTGACTCTTGACAAAAAGTCCTACCAACCTACTTAATCTCCCTTTGGCGTGCTACGCCTAGGTTGTGATCCTTCAGCCCCCAGGCTTCATCATTACCTTGTACGGTCCCACCCAGCTGAATACCCTAGCAGCCAGTCAACGGCCAGGAAAATACCGTGTAGCTTGGGGTAACAGGATGTTCAGGCGGGAATTTGATAAACTCAAGCTGCCAAGACCCAAGCGTTTGGTTCCGGTGCAAGGCTCATCGTCGTCACCATGGAGCACAGTGCAGTAGGTATTCGTGTAATATTCGCAGCTGCATTATCGACCATGGCTAGGAATTTAGCGGTCTGGTTGAATTACATTTATTTTTTCCACGTTACGAGTTTACTATCATTAAAGTTCCCATAACTAATAGCAACTCTAGTGCATCGAGTTTACCAATCTCGAGACACACTCGATATCTGGTAGCAGGATAGCTATTCATGACCTATCCTCATCTTCGTGGCCGATGCTAGACGAGAATACCCTATCATTTATTGGTCAGTCTACACTAGCTGATTGGTCGACAAGTGTTGGCGTTTTCTGTAGGAATATGTATATTCCTTGAAGTCGAGCGCCACAGCGGTAAGCTAGCCACCACCAAATGCAAGAGCTTCAGG